AAGAGATTGTTTCTGCACAGCCTTACCAAAAGATTATTCTCAAACTTTTGAAGTTTTGGCAGTCTGATAGATGAATAACTGGTATCTCTGGGTACTTTTAGCATGCATTCTTTTCATCTTTTTCCCCCCCTCCCAGTTTTTGCTGATTTCTAAGAGCTTTTTATGTCTAGGGAGAGAATGTATTTCCAAGTTGGTCATTTTTGTTTTGATTTTGCTTATAAAATGGTAGGCTTTTCTAAGTTTAATTTTTTTAAAAAATTTTAAATTTTAAAATTCTCTTTGTGGCTTCTGAATATTGAAGTAGTTAAAAAGGTTATTTCCACTCAAAGTTACAAAGGTATGTCACTGTCTTTTATATTTTTATGGTTCATTTTTAGATTTAAACCTTTTTAAAAAATTTTTATTTGTTCTTTTTAGTTACATATGACATATCATACAGACATGGAGTATGACTTCCCATTTTTGTGGTTGTACATGATGAGTTACACTGGTGTGTATTCACATGAACATAGAAAAATTATGTGGGTTCATTCTACGGTCTTTCCCTCTTCCCTTCCCCTCACTCCCCCCTGTCCAATCTGGTAAACCTCCACTCCTCCTGTTGCTGCACTCCCCCCATTGTGAATCATCATCTGCCTATCAGAGAGAACATTCAGCTTTTGGTTTTTTGGGATTGGCTTATTTCAGTTATCATGATAGTTCCCAGTTCCATCCATTTACCAGCAAATGCCATAATTTCATTCTTCTTTATGGTTGAGTAATATTCCATTGTGGATATGTTCCACATTTTCTTTATCCATTCACTTGTTGAAGGGCACCTAAGTTGGTTTCTTAGCCTAGCTATTGATGTGGCCACTTCACTATAATAGGATGATTTTAAGTCCTTTGAGTATATGCTGAGGAGTGGGCTAACAGGGTCAAATAGTGGTTGCATTCCAAGTTTTCTGAGGAATCTCCATACTGTTTAGATTTAAACCTTTGACCTGTTTAAAATATATCCTGTTCTGTGGGTATTTCCTTTGTTCTTATAGCTATCCTACAAATATCTGAATTCTGTAATATATACTTTTCATATACTCTAATTATACCAAATTTTCACACATATATTTGGGACTTTTTATGAAATTTCCTTTGGTTCTTTTTGTCTGAATGCTAATTACTAAGGATTTAATGCATTTTAATAAATCTAGTACGAAAAGAAAGGGTTGGAGAATCTCATGAAAATAGAAGGGAAATCAGTAGAGAAGAGAAAGAGAACATGGGAGAGATGGGAGGAGGGAAAAGGCAACACTGGGGAATGATATTGGCCAAATTATATTGTGTGCATGTACTATTATATAACAGTCCCACCATTATGTACAACTACAGTGTACCAATAAAAACTGGAAAAAAGTAAATCTAGTAGGCCCATCCTCCTTCACTGTACTCCCTCTCTACTAGAGTTTTCATTACAGTTCTGTTTATTTTCCATATTTGGTTTAGAATCAATTTTGCTTTTACCTTTCCCCCTTAAAAAGAAAGAAAGAGAAAGAGAGAAAAAGAAAGAAAGAAAGAAAGAAACAAAGAAAGAACAAACTGTTGGTGTTTTTACTGGAAATATGTGGATGGATAAATTTGGTGGATAGATTGGTATGTTTTGAATGTTTATAATGCTGTATGACCTATCCAAGAACATGGTATTTCTTTCCATTTAATCAAGTTTTCTTTTGTGTTTGTGAGTAATGTTTTATCTTTTTATTGCTATTATAAATTGAGTATTTTCTTTCATATTTTCTGTTTTTTTTGTTTGTCTACATGAAGGCTATTGACTTCATATAACCCACTATTAATTTTTTTTCTTATTTTAGTAGTTTTCATGTCAATAAGTTCTTTAAGCTTTTTCAGACAGATAGCCATGCTATGAAAATAATTTTATTTTATTTATAATTTTTATACTTCTAAGATGTGTTTTCTATCCAACCGTATCAACTAAATCTCTTACAATAGTAGATTCTAGTGAATAAAAGATATCAAATGATTTGATCTTATAATTTTTTGTTTCTTAAATCTATTAATATAATGGCTTATATATATATATATATTTTAAAACGGGGGGGGAAGAGAGAGAGAGAGAGAGAGAATTTTAATATTTATTTTTTTTTGTTTTCGGCAGACACAACATCTTTGTATGTGGTCCTGAGAATCGAACCCGGGCCACACGCATGCCAGGCGAGCACGCTACCATTTGAGCCACATCCCCAGCCCAATGATGGCTTATATTAATAGATTTCTGGGAGTAGGGTTGTAGCTCAGTGTCTGAGCACTTGCCTAGCATGCATGAGGCACTGGGTTTGATCCTCAGCACCACATAAAACTAAATAAATAAAATAAAGGTATTTGTTCACCTACAACTAAAAAAAAAAAATTTTTTTTAAATTAGATTTCCTGCATTCTTACTCTGGGTTATAATGTATTTTTGTTTTTTTTAATGTGCTACTGTTTTTATTCTGTTGCTGACATTTTTAGAATTTTCCCATGAGTGGTACTGGTCTGTGTTGTATGCAGTTGTGTGATTTGTTTCTTTATTTTACCTGTATTAAGCTTTATGGAAATAATTTGGAAGTTTCCATTTTTCTGTGCCCTGAAACATAGGTTTGATGGTGCTTACTCTGTGAAATTACTAGGGCCTATGGCTTTTTATAAGTTCTATTTAACAATGTTCTTTTTTTTTTTTCCTCCCCATGATAGTTGAAAGATTTTCTCTCTCTCCTGAGGTTAATTTTAATAATGTTATTTTCTTGGAAAATTATCTATGGTATTTGTTTTTAAGTTTTCAAATGTAATTACCTGGATATTGAACAAAGTAGTCCCTTATAGTTATTGAAATTTTCCTGAACTTATAAGTGGTTTGTCTTTTTTCTTAGGCATGATATTATTCCTTTCACTATACTTTAAGATTATCTAGTGGGTTTATTTATCTTCTACCCAGAGAATTAACTTTTGATTCTTTTCTTAATTTTTTTCTATTTTTAGTTGCTATTTTTGTTTTCATTAAAACTCTTTCCTGGGGGTTAGGGTGGTGGCTCAATGGTAGAGCACTTGCCTAACATGTGTGAGGCACTGGGTTCCATTCTCAGTACCACATATAAACAAATAAAAATAAAGTTCTATCAACAACTAAAAAAAACTCTTTCCTCCTACTTTTATTTATTTTAGATGCCTTTTTTCTAAATCTATAAGTTTATTGCTTCAACTATTTATTTTTTTTAAACTTATTTAAATATTTAAGGTTGTAAAACTTCTTTTGAACAATGGATATGTGTTGGATTCTAATATGTAGTGTTTTTATTCTGTAGGAAATCTGCAGTTTGAGTTTAGTTTCTTTTTGACATATTTTTTAACAACAGAATTATTTATCATTTTCACACTGTGAAGTCCAGTTCAGACAGTGGTTTTATATGTTCAAACCTGTGATCAAGATAGAAAATATATTTTGAAAGATAATCAATAAGCTTCACTTTCATCCCACTGTCAGAATGTGAATTACAGAAGAAATTCATCCCCGGGGCTGGGTATGTGGCTCAAGAGGTAGCGCACTCGCCTGGCACGCGTGTGGCCCGGGTTCGATCCTCAGCACCACATACAAACAAAGATGTTGTGTCCGCCGAAAACTAAAAAATAAATATTAAAATTCTCTCTCTCTCTCTTTCTTAAAAAAAAAAAAAAGAAATTCATCCTACTAATTAGGGGCACAACTAATGTGGAAAGTAATCATTTATTAAGTTAAATAAGTTTATATTCTTGGAATGTGTAGTTTATTTCATTCTGAAAGTTTTCTGTGAGATTGGATTTTCCCTAAAGCATAAGATGTAGAAATGCAAACTTCATTATTTACTAAGAAATTCTGATAGTATGATCTCTACTGACAACTAAGTTCAAATAGAATCATAATTAGGATTTGAGGTATTCTTCTTTCTATGGATATTGATATTCTGGACTTGAGGCATGTATATGTGTTTGTATGTGCATGTACATGCCTATTTACTCTATATGGAGATCATAGTGACCAACTTGGTAGCTATATTAAGGTTTTCTTCATAGACAGGAAATTCCAGATGGTCTCTTTGTTATTTTTATTTTATTTTTTTCTGTTCTGATTAAGGAAAGTCATTTTAGAGAGAGGGAGAGGGAGAAAGAAAGGAGGAGAGAGAATAAACTTACTCTAAGCTGATAAGAAAAATAGGCTGCTTGCTTTATTATTTATGATTTATTTTTTAATGATTTTTTTGTGCCTGTTTTATTTCAGCCTCCTAATGGAAAATCCTTTTATTTTCATTTTTTAATTCTAATTAGTTATACATGACAGTAGAAAGGATTTTGACACATCATAAATGGAGTATGACTTATTCTTCTGGTTGTATGTGATATAGAATCATACTGGTTGTGTAGTCATATTGCTTATAGGGTAATAATGTCCAATTCATTCTACTATCCTTCCTACTTCCATACCTCCTCCCCTCCCTTCACTCCCCTCTGCCTAAGCTAAAGTACCTCTATTTTTCCCTAGCCACCCACCTCCCTTATTGTGTGTTAGCATCTGCATATCTGAGAAAACATTCAGCATTTGTGTTTTTAGGGGGAATTTGCTTACTTTGCTTAGCATAATATTCTCCACCTTTATCCATTTACTGGCAAATGCCATAAATTCATTCTTCTTTAAAGCCAAGTATTATTCCATTCTGCTTGCTTTTTTAAACTGATAGAAATACTTTAAGCTCAAGAGAAAAATCTAAACATAGGAATTTTGACTCTATTAAGAATTTGCCACTAGAGAGTTACTCAAGTGTTCATGGAATTTTAGAAAAGGACAAAATAATATATTTTATCTTTTAAAAAAATTCAGATTTTATTTTCAGACTAAGGAACTGAGATCCACAGTGTACCTTGCTATTTGAAAGTCAAAGAGAATGAGCTCTGAGTTAATTATTACTAGATAAGATTCTGTTAACTTTATTTTACAGAGAATACAAGCAAGCATTCTAAAAGCATTTAACAACCCAACTACTAAAACTGCTGATGAAGAAACTAGAAAAAAAGTCAAAGGTATGTTGACTTTTAAAGTTAAAACTTTTTTCTACAATATTAAGATTCGTCTCCAGGGAAAAAGAATAGAGCATTGTATGAACTAATTTTCTAACATTGAGATCTTAAAAGGAGGGTGTACTTCCACCAGTGGTGGCAAGATGCTATAATGGGACGTAGAAAATTTTAGAATGTATCCTGTGAGTTTCTTAAAACTAAAAGCAAACAAACTAATTTCACTTATACAGATTGTCACTGATGACCTATGTTAGGCCTTCTGAGACTTGAAAATATGTGGAAAGCAGCATCTTCTCTTGGAAGTTCACATTTATCATATTGTGTCATTTTGGTGTTTAGATAAATTTAGATAATACCTGTAAATATATTTATCTAGATAAAATGATTAACTGTTCCAAAAGCTTGTAAAGAAATAATTTGTTGAGAGTACTAACAAGTCAAACATAAGTACAATTTGCCTATTCTTAGTGTTTGTTCTTCATCAGTCAAAATATGGGGCAAAATCAATGACTCTAATCAAAGCTCCTAGCTTATAAATATTTCAGTGTGATTATATCCTGTTATATGAACAATTTACCCAGTCCTAAGTGTATGTAATCTACCTTGTGATATTAACTAATGTTAGTATAAAGTAGTTGGCTATTTTTAAAAATCATTAAAATATTTTGTTTTCTTTATTTCCTCTTTTTAAAACTTCTTTTGTAATTTTATAATGTTCATGCTATATGTCTATAATTTATAAACAAATATACATAAATTGTTGTACCATCTAAGACTCATTAATTAAACCTTTGAGATTTTGTTTCCTAAGCATGCTCCTTGTTCTTTTGTGTTGAGATAGTGCCATCTAGTGTATTATTTAGTATATAGCTCAGTTTCTTCCCATTTTTGTTTTTTGTATTTTTAACTCCTTGTACAATTTTTCTTAATGAAATATCTTAATTTATCATAGTATTTCTAAAGTTATTATAATTAATGTTTATTGATATATGTTAAATATAAATCTCTGTTATTCAGTGCTTCAGATAATGTTTTAAATGATTATAAATACTGTTTGTATGAAACCTAGTATAGAGGCCCAAAAAGGATAGAAGATAAGTTTGAAAGACGGGTGAATAGAATTATTAATATGTTTTCTCCCTCATGGTTTACTAAGGAAATTTTCAAATTTTTGTTGAAGTAGAATAATATAATGTAGTCTCTTGTACCTATCATCCAGCTTTACACTCATGGCTTATTATGTTTACTTTAGTAGTAGTGGGATTGAATCCAGGGCCCCATACATGCTAGACAAAGCACCATACCATTCCTCTGAATCCCCAACCCTTTTTTATTTTTTGAGACAGGGTCTTGCTAAGTAGTTTGTTTTTGCCTTGAACTTGTGATATTCTAGCCTCAGCCTGAGGATTACAGGAATGTGCTACCATGCCTGACTCTACTTTTTATGTTTAATTTATTTTTTCAACTCCAGATTATTTTAAAGCAAATCACAGGCATAGTTTCCTTTGATTTATAAATATTTCCTGAGCAAACTAATTTTAATTAAAAAATACTATGAGCATGTGTGTTTAGGTGAATTGTAAGATGCCCATGTTAATTCCTTCTTCTATGCTATGTTTACTTATTTTTACCACATTTTTTTATAACTATAACCTTGGCACCTGCAGCCTGAAAGCATAATCTTCCCTATTCTTCTGTGTGCTACTAGGTTAGACACAGAGGCTTTCCAAGGTTTAATGGGAGCAGCTGAGGTGTGGAATAGTGGTATTGCTCTAATTAGTTTTCTATTATGTTTTAGAAAATCTTTATTTCTTAGAGACTCTGGTAGCTGATGGTTGTATTTCCCTTACCAAAAAAAAAGTGAAGGAGACATTGTATCATTATATAGTAAAATATATTATTAAATATAATAAAGGAAATCTGCCTTATTTGGATTACTTTTGAATAACAGACAATAGCATGAAACATTATTGGATGGTTGCTATGTTTTTAGTGTTAAAAAGTATGATTTTTACAGCATATGGAAAAGAAGGTGTGAAAATGAACTTCATAGATCGGATCTTTATTGGTGAATTAACTAGCACAGTCATGTGTGAAGAATGTGCAAATGTAGGTACTTTGGAATTCACTTCTTGGAATACATTACAGTCGCATCGTTTTTATTATGTTTTCTTTTACATATATTAATGAGCAGTCATTTTTAAAATTCACAATAAGTGACTACATGACTTAATCTTTAAAGACATTTTAATAATATACCCTATACTCCTAGAAAGTAAACATAATTTAAAATTATTTTTTCAAGTAAATGTTTTTATGTGTTGATTTTATTTTTCTTCTTGACACATCCATGAGGTACTTTTGGTCTATCTTAATTTGCTAAAATACATTAGCTACTTCTGTGAAGGGCAACTATGTTACTATAATCGTAACATAATTTAGGGAGATTCTATAACACTTAATTTCAATTTTTTATCTATATTTCTTACTAACATTTTTTGTTTTTGCCTTGGCTCATCTTTGAATTCAGTAATACTTTTTATTTTAAATTTCATCTTTAACAACTTAAAGCATGTATAAATTGTTAGAGATTTTCAGTCGCTTCATAAGGAATACTTCTGAAAGTATATGGCTTAGAGTATGGTAAATTTAAACTTTTGTCAGACTTGATTGGTAAAAAAGAGTCTTTATATCCATTTTTTCTGTCCCAGATTGTGAAGTACTCTTCTGCCCTCTTTAGTCTTATAAAATCAGGATTATAAATTATATTTCCTTCTAGCCTATCCCATTTAAACATAATGTGTCAACATGCTATAACTTAAATTTTTGCAATAATCAACATAGTAGTTGATTTCTCTCTCACAAAGGTAGAAAGTATCTTTTAAAACAATTAGCCTAAGCAATCTTCAAAACACTGTCAAGCTCTCTGCTTCTTTCCCCATGGTTTTTTCCTTAACATTTCATGCTTTGTTTTAACTTAAAGCTTTGAACTGGGAAGTTTGATTTCTTTGATACTTTACAGAACTGCATGTCTATATTATAATTCTAACAGAAGTTCTCAATTTGTTTTCTTTTTAAGATCTCCACTGTGAAAGATCCTTTCATTGATATTTCACTTCCTATAATAGAAGAAAGGGTAAGGAGAAAAAAAAGTAATTTTGAGGTCTTTGTGAAGAGCATTTATTCACTCATTTAGATATTTTTTGAGTGTATTGTCAGATATCTGAGAGTCATTATGTTTTACATATAACTGAGTTTGTATGGTGTTTCGATAGTGGGGTTTATGCATGTATGCATTAAGTATGATATACTTCTTATTCTCCAGGAATTTAAATCCTTATGCTTTTGAGAATTAATGTTAAGAAAATAATCTTTTTATATTTGTAGTGAGTTAGAGATTTTAAAAAGAAAGGTATATCCAAAATTTATTTGCTTAAGAAATTTTGTGTTATGTATATGGCATCTACATAGGTATCAAAACCTGTGCTTTTGGGAAAAATGAGTAAATATAGAAGTTTACAGGAGACAGATCCTGATCAGTACAGTGGCACTGTTACTATAGAAAATACTCAACCCAGAGCTGCCAAGAAGCATTCTTCATCAAAAGATAAGGTGAGACTATGAACATTTGTTAAATATTTGGTTTTTTTTAACTTTTTATTGAGAAATATTTTAAATGTATACAAAAGTAGAGAGAATAATATAGTAAACTCCCATGCACCCATTTCTCAGCTTCATATTATCAACTCATGGCTAATTATGTTTTTGCAGTATCTGTCCCACATTCTACCCTTCCCCACCCAGATTATTTTGAAATAAATCCGACAAAAATTATACATACTTCAAGATGTTTATTTAAAAGATACTCTTGAGGCTAGGGGTTGTGGCTCAGCGGTAGAGTGCTCGCCTAGGGCATGTGAGGCCCTGGGTTCAATCCTCAGCACCACATAAAAATAAATAAAACAAAGATATTTTTAAAATAATAATTTCCATTTAAATAAAAAAATAAAAGATATTCTTTAAGAGCTATGGTATAGCTCACTTGCTCAAGGCCCTGCATTCAATATCCAAACGCCCTTTGTAAAAACATGACGACAGTACCATCATCATACATAAAAATATTAATACTTCTTTGTGAAACCAAGCATTCAGTCATTATTGAAATTTCTTCAGTTCCCTCATAAATACTCAGGTTTTTCTTTTCTTTTCTTTTTTGTTTGTTTTGTTTTGTTTTGAGAAAAAGGAAAAAGAAGGTTTATTGCTTTGCTTGCAAAGGAGAAACATAGGGGACTCCTGCCTCAAAGTTTGTGATTCTGCCTATCACAGGAACATGGGGCTTTTAAAAGAGGTGATTCAAAGGCTATATTCCATATGTTCTCTTTTGGAGTTGTAATTCACTTGTTAATTTGGGACAGTCATTTCTGAGATCTTCTCGTACCATCCCCAAAGTCTGGATTTTGTGTGTGTGTGTGTGTGTGTGTGTGTGTGTGTCTGTCTGTCTGTCTGTCTGTCTGTCTTTCTCTCTTCCTCCAGTACTGGTACTTGAGTCCAAGAGTGCTCTATCACTGAACTACATCTCCAACCCTTTTTATTTTTTATTTTTAGAAAGTGTCTTACTAGGATGCCCAGGCTGGCCTCTTGCCTTAACCTCCAGAATACCTGGGCCCAAAGAGTATCATGTGTCTTTAACTCTTTATTTAATCACATTTTCTTTTTGCAATTAATGACCAAAGAAATCATCCACTTTTTTTTAGCATTTTTCCACATTCCCACATTAAGTAATATTTACTATTGTATTCCTATAATATTCACAGGTTCTTCCATCTCCTTTATTTCCTCTCTAAAGTGATTTAGATCTAAAAGCTATATTAAGTTCAGATTTGATTATTTATTTAATTTTTTGGCAAGAAAACTTATAAGTGGTGGTGTATTCTCAATCAAGTTGGTTCTAATGAATACTTCCTGGTTTCTACTCTCTAGAAACCCTTAAGTCTTTTTATGGTGCCATATTCAAGAAGCAAAAAGTTAAATATAAATGTCATTAGAAATTTTATGTTTAGAAATTATTAATATTTTTTAATGTATGATGATGGTACTGTGGTTATGTTTTTACAAAGAGTATCCGGGTATTGAACTCGGGGCCATGAGCAAGTGCATTACCACTGCACTGTGCCCTCATCCCCTAAAGAATATCTTTTAAATATACACCTTGAAGCATGTATGATTTATGTGGGATTTATTTCACAGAGAAAAGACTTGAGGAACTGAGTGCAATGGCACATACTTAGTCTTAGCTACTTGTGAGGCTGAGGTAGGGGGACCATTTGTGCCTGATAGTTTGAGGCTAGCCTTGGCAACATAGTTGAGACAAAAACTCCATGTTCAAAGGGATTTTACTGTTTTTCTGGGCTAAATTGCTTATAATATTATGCAGAAATATTTGAGAAATTGTCAACTTATCCTATGTAAATATTTCAAGGGATTAAATTAAACATATACTTTCGTTTTTAAGTCCAAGTAAAACAATTGCAAGAATATTCTTGTTTATCATGTGGTGTTGACTCATAATTTAGAACTGGTAATTTTAAGAACACCTAGGAAAGACAGTATCTCTTTCAACATTTTCATCTTATATTTTCGAGGTTTAAATAAACTTTCCCCATACAACTTAAAGTGAATTTAACAAAAACAGAAGCACCTTGTGTCTTTTAAAATCAATAATGAGGTATAAGTACTGAACTTTAATAAATTTTTGTTTGTCTTTTTTTGGGGGGGTGGTACCAGGGATTGAACTCAGGGGTGGGCACCCAACCACTGAGCCACATTCCCAGCCCTATTTGTATTTATTTAGAGACTGGCTCTCACTGAGTTGCTTAGTACCTTCCTTTTGCTGGGGCTGGCTTTGAACTTGTGATCCTCCTGTTTCAGCCTCCCAAGCCAGCTGTGTTATTGAATTTTTTACTTTTTCTTTTTGCTGAATTGTACTAGTTATCTCATTAATCCTTTAATAAGGAGTTTAATGCAAAGAATGAAAAAGAAGCATCAGGTGAGTAAACAACAGTGAGAAATGAAACCAAGATAGAAACGTAAATACAAATGGAGAAATAATCACCTTGATGAGAAACACTACTTTGGCACTACTTAATCTAATTTAAAAGGAGCAATTAATAGGCAAACTAAAGTCTAAACACAAATAAAATATTTTCTTTCAGATCCGTGGCGGCAGGCAACACGGTCATAATAGAGTTTGTATTTTGTTACTTTTTAACTTTTATTTTAAAAATACCCAGTATTCTTCAATATGTAAAAATCAACAAGTATGGAAAGACTTATGGTTGAAAAGTCCCCCTTATAGCCCTGTTGTACTGAAGATGTTGGTTTTCCATGTTAAGATTTACTTTTAAATTAGAGGGGCTGGGATTGTGGCTCAGCAGTAGAGCACTCGCCTAGCACGGGTGGGACCCGGATTCGATTCTCGGCACCACATAAAAATAAAGGCATTGTGTTGTGTCCATCTACACCTAAAAAAAATAAGTATTAAAAAAAAAGAAATGCACCTTTAAAAAAATAAATTAGAACTATTTGTTAGTATATCTTCTGTTGATCTTAGTTTAAGTTTAGATTTAGTAAATGACTTTCAGAGAAGTAGTGCTTATTTAACAATTGTAGACAGCTAAGTGGGACTTCTTAGCATTTATTTTCAATAAGGTCATAAAATTCTTTTCTCTGAAAACACTGTCAACTTACAGAATCAACTAACTCATGACAGAAACCATATAAGAAAATTGTCATCTGGGGAAGAGAAAACTGTTTTTATATATCAGAAAAATGAAAACCTTGAAACCAGTGGGGAGTTGTCAATATATGCAAACATCGTGAGTACTGAGTCGTCTCTGAATGAAAGCCCTACGGATGGTAGTGAAAAAGAAGCCTGTCATTCTGAAAGTAGTGCTGATGCAGACAGTGAGGCTTCAGAATCTGAAAGTGCTTCAAAGCAGACTGTGCTACTTAGATCCAGCAGTGAATCCTGTATGTACACAGATGGGCACCTTCACCACCCATCTGCAAGTGAACTGCCACACCCCAAGGAGACTGACAGTGGTGATGAGGAAATGGCTGAAGCAATTTCTGAACTTTGTTTGAGCAGCACTGTAATTGGAAATAGAGATTTTGACAGAGAAAGTCAGCCACCCAGTGTTTCAAGTAATTTATGTTTTTCAGAGGAGAAGCATATGAGGTCTCACAGTTCCCAGAATGCTTTTCAGACCCTTTCTCAGAGCTATGTAACTACTTCTAAAGAATGTTCGGTTCAGTCCTGTTTGTACCAGTTTACATCTATGGAATTACTAATGGGGAATAATAAGCTTCTATGTGAGAATTGTACTGAAAAGAAACAGAAGTACCAAAAGGAAAATAATTCTGCAGGTAAACATTTAGCTTAATTTGTTTTTGTATTATTAATGGATTATTAGTGACTAATGAGTTATTAATCCCCTATTCAAGCACCTGGGAACCTTATCTTCATACTTGAGCTGGTTGGCCCAGTGATTATCTTGTATTTTTGCCTTAGCACTTAAGGCACTGACTAGGGAGAAAATATTTTCAATAGATTGTTGTTGAAATAATTGAAGATCATGAAGAATACATTTCTGCCTTGAAAAATGCAAATCCACATCTTATTTGAAAGAAATAACTATCTGAAATCTTTCTGAAAGAAACAGCTCTAAAACTTAGTTGTATCACTAGTAAGATTAGTGATGAAAGTAAGACCTTCAGAAATCCCATCATCTGTTGTAAACTCAAGGTATAGATTTGAAGATTTTAAATATTTGCATGTTATTAAGCTAGTGATATAATGACTGTGTTTAGTTTAACCAGATTAAAGTGGGAAAGGGGGATATTGTTAAGAATTTTCAGTGCATCTCTCACCTTAATTGAGTGGAAAGAATACTCTTAAGGTGACTATTTGTTTTATTTATTTATTTTCTTTCTTTTTGACTATTTGTTTTAAACATGTAGGTTTTATTATTCAGGTATGGTGAAGTCAAGGAATCAGGAAATGATTGACACTGAAAAATTAGTCACAGTTCCCAAGAAGTAGGGGAGTAGATGCTATACAAGGCCACATGGAGAAGTACTAGGGGCAGATGGAGCAGAAAAAGTGAAAGAGAAACAGAAAATTGGCAAGGTCCTTTGTTTTGGTCTCTGAGTAGCCCAGAGTGTGAGAGCTCATTAAAGGATGTTGTTGTTGGTATATGGGCTTGGTTAGTTTGCACATGAAAGGTGAGCTTAAATTGTTTTACTGTTTCCAGGATTTAGCTAGCCCTGGAATGGGTTGTCCCTTTATGGTAAAAAAAAAAAAAAAAAAACCTCTTGATCCAAAGTATAAGAATAAAGACAGGCTTAGTATACTAGTAATTAAAAAAATGGCTGGATGGGAGAAGTAAGAAGTGCCAACTTAAATTAATTCAAGTTAAATATGCGATTGCCCATATTTAAATCTTATCATAAGTCCTTTCTATCAAACTTACTGAAATGACCCATGATTTGCCATGTTGTGTGTTCTCTCTTTGCTGCAATGAGTAATAGACTCAACTTTTAAAATTATAGGTGCTTCTGGTGGTATTTGGCTGGAAGGGGCTACTAACAATAAGTAACTAGCATTCTAGCATCCAAAATTTTCTTGTGTCACCTCTTCCAGACTTTATGCCTTAACAAACAAACAAACATACATCTTTACTTTCATCTCAGTGGAGTTATGGAAAGGAATAGAGAGGTACCCTGTAATCAGAAGTCCAGTTTCTTAACACTTAAAACAAAATGATATGATGTTGCTATATAAATTCTTGTTATATTATATTATAGGTAATATATAATGTGGAATTTTTACAAATAAATTTGTTGCATTTTATGCAGAAAAGAAAGCAGAAGGAGTTTATACTAATGCCAGGAAGCAATTGCTTATTTCTGCTGCTCCAGCTATTCTAATTCTCCATCTTAAAAGATTCCATCAGGTAAAAGTCCTTTTGTAGAACTCTAGTTATTCATTTTCATTAGGTGTTTTGTGGAGTCCTGTGTTTTGGGGAATATTGTCAAAGATTAGAGAGTAACTTACTGAGTTTAAAAATTTGCCATGTGGGGTTGAGGTTGTAGCTAAGTGGTAGAGCAGTTGCCTCGCACATGTGAGGCACTGGGTTCGATCCTCAGCACCACATAAAAATACAAAATAAAATGAAGATATTGTGTTCATTTACAACTTTAAAAATATTTTTTTAAAAATTTTGCCACATAGGATTTCCTACTAGTTTAGCCATAATAGTTTACAAGACTTTTCTGATTAAAATTGTTTAATTTATAGTACTTGAAGATTTAGACAGTAGGACCCTTAGTTATGTCTATGATTGGTATGTGTATGTGTGATCGAAAATAAGTTTTAATAAACATTTATAAGCAGAACAGTAGTAAAGTACACTCAACTTTCTGAGCTCTTCTGATCACACTGAAAGGGTTCTTGGCTGTCGGTGTTGGCTGGGAATATAAAGAATGGCTCCAAGGCAGGTCCTACACTTTTAGAACTTCATAATGGGAGGCAAACTAATTTTCTTCTTTTTGTTGTTGTTGTTGTAGTTTTTGTTTTTTAAGATGTGTTCTTGCTCTGTTGACCAGGTTGGCCTCAAACTTGAGATTCTCCTGCCTCACCCTCCCATGTAGCTAGAATTGTAGCTACACACTAGTGTCCAGTTTAAATTTTTTTTCTTCTTTTGCAGTACTGGTTACTGAACTCAAGGACACTCTTATCACTCAGCTACGTCCACAGCTCTTTTTTTTTTTTTTTAATTTGTTTTTATTTTGATCTAGTGTCTTGCTAAATTGCCAAGGCTGGCCTTGAACTTGCAATTCTCTTGCTTCAGACTCTGGAGTGGCTGGGATTATAGGCAGGTGCCACCAAGCCCATCCCAATTTAAATACTTTCAATGTGTTAGGTTTTTGTCTAATTATTTGTGGTTTTTAATTCAGTGTCTTTTCTCAAGAGGATTGTTTTTGCATTTTGAAAGTTATTTTTAAATTTCTCTGGAAAATGAATAAGTTAAAATATTATAGTAGTTAAAGGAGTTTAGTTGGAAATGTCAAAAATAAAACATGAGTATAATTTAAAGCTATTATGATTCTAGATTTGTTCAGTAAAAGATTTAGGGAAAATGCTTCTTTGGAAAATACATAATTAGAACTTTGTATCATATACCCATATATATATATATTTTAAATTTTTTATTTGGTGATGGATCTTTATTTATTAATTAATTTATATGTGTGCCAAGAATTGAACCCAGTGCCTCACACATCATGCTAGGCAAGCACTGTACCACAACCTCAGCCCAGATTTTCAGATATATTTTTAATGCATCAAGCAAATTATTAAAAAGACTAGAAAAAATGAGTATTTGATCTGACATCTGTGTGAAAGACTTTCTAAGTGTAAAACTCATGAAAGAAATCTTTAAGGAAAAAGATTGAGAGGTGTGTGTGTGTGTGTGTGTGTGTGTGTGAGAGAGAGAGAGAGAGAGAGAGAGAGAGAGAGAGAGAGAGAGAGAGAGAGAGAGAGAGAGAGAG